GGATTTTAGTAGGCAGTGACTTTTTTCAAACCTGGAAGATATCATCATGAAAGCCATACTTGTGACTGGTAACTCTTTCTTATTCTGATAAATTAGTTTTTGAAGGATACAATATTTTGTTACTAAAATTTGATGCATAGGCTGTGCACAAAACTTTCATTTGACTATACTTTTATAGCCAATATCAATCCTTACACATAATGAGATGTTAGTGGGATCAGAGGAAAAAATAATGTACCAAACATCTGTAAGATTTCAGGTAATTATTTTAGTTACATGAATATTAACTGATACTAGATCTAAGAGTATTCAAAAGAATGTAAAATTTGTTTGAAAAATTAGAACTCAGCATGGGCCAAATAAACAAGATTCTTAGAAAAAGAAATGTTTACTAATGCAAAATGCTGAGCAACCTTTTTTACAATACCTGCCTGTGGCCCCACGGCACATAGTAAAGTCATTCAAAGTAGTGATAATCCCAGTTTTATAAGTTGAAAACACACACACGTACAAATTTCTTATAAACCGGTAGTTCAGGCCTGTCATGGCTTCAAAATTTTGATGCACATCTCAAAAGGAGAAGAAATAAATTTCTACTTTCTATTTATTCAGTTTAGGTTAGTGAGGTAAATTGAGTCAAACATTCCTTCAATGACAGGTTCAAGAAATTTTCTCAACTAATTTATAAGGTTAGCCTACCTACTGTAATGATGATGCACAAAAGAACTCTCTGTGGTAAGAGGGCAGGCTTTCCTTTCTTCATTAGAAAAATATTGAGGTTATCATCTTTCCACAAGCTCAGTGGAAAGTGAGAGTGAGCAAGACTGATAGTGACTATGTTATTTGAGTAAATATCCTGGCCAGAGAAGGATAAAAGGCAAGGTATGGTCTGCACAACTTTTTAATTTTAATTTTATAATCTATTAATCTAAGTCATATATATTCTTGCTTTGTGCGTTATGTGAATGCCAATTAATTTCACTTTCTTATAGGTCAAAGTAAAAACATTAATTAAAATAGCAGAGCCCACTTTAATTTCAGTCCTAATTAAAGGGGGATCCTTGCTTTTCCAGTTTCCCACCCTTTAAAACTCAGATATCTTGTGACCAATTCCTTATATCAATGTTTAGTTTGGTTATGAGCATTGGTAAGAAACACCATGCATTAATGAAAGCTTGAGCAAGATTATTTAATGCAATTCAAATAACAATATTACATGTTACAATGTGGCAACTTACGCAGCAAAATTATATAATCACACAATTTCAAACAAAGGGAGTCAGGTTATTGACTCACCTGCCTCAACTATTGAGGGCTTGGGGTACAAAGAAATTGGTATGGTAAACAGTTACAATTAACACAAAGATTAAAGTTTGAAAGCGAAGAGATATACATTACAATCATCAAATCCTATGCATCCTAGCCGAAAAAGGGCCAGTTATCACTATAACTTCTCCAAGACATTCATACTTGCAGGATATCATTAATTTTTGTCACTAGGTGGTACTGTACTTACAATAGTTCTACTGACACAAACATATTTTTCTCACAGCATATGACTCTACAGGCCATGTGGAAGGTTCCTCCTTAGGGACTGACATTTCAATTACTGCAACAAACTGTAATCATCAGAATTGCAAGCCAAGGTGTATTTACCAAGTGCTTAAGTTTCCAAAGTAGTCACCTAATTGTTACAATCAAGTTCACTCTCTTTTGATGCCATATTCAGCTTGATCATCCTGTTACATGTGAAAACATCTAATATTTTTCTCTTATTCAAATAATTGCTTGAATCATAAGTTATATTTTTTGTAATTACCTGCTTCCTTTAACCCTTAAATCCCCAAGACTAACTAGCATCTAATTTCCCCTTCAATATCACCCCTGAATCAATCATTAAGGTTACGAGAATAAAGAAAATTATTAATTGAAGAACCTTTTGATTGTTAAACAAATTCTCCTCGTCAGCACATTAGAGAACAGTATGGAGAATATGCATACTGATGTTAGGATGTAAAGGGTTAATAGTGCTCCAGAAATGGTAAATAGCGTTGGAGAGAAAGGAAGAAAGTTCTTGAAACATTCTGTGTTAAATAAAACTTTGTTGTGAATGTTACTTGTGAGGGCAATGAAAACATCTGTGAAGCTACTATAACAATTACCTTTCCATGTAAACAAACCATAATAAAGCAATTAATGATATGAATAAATTTAATCTCACCCAGTTTGAATGTAGAATCTGAAATCTAATTAACTTCAGTTATTAGTGAATAGGAAAAAGCTTAATGTATTTTTCCTGCTTCTGTCATTCTAAATATCACAAATCAATCATGCCACCACTTCAGTGTGATTTTTTTGAAGATATGTACTTTTTCTTATGGTCATCTATTTTAGTATCTATCATTTGCCAGCTGACATCTGAGAAGAGTTAAGTCCACACTGGTGATTTGACACTTTGTAAGCAAACCCTACAACTGATTAAATTTTATTTGATCAAAAACATGAAGGGCAATAGAGAAAATTGGCCAGCACAATTGAAGTTTCCCTTCTTAAGTATTCTGTGATCGTTTCTTCGATCATATGGTGAAGTTTACAGTTTCCCTCATTTCACTTTCTTCTGTTCATCTGTTTGCTTTCCTAATAATCATTAAATGCATAGAGCATATAGAATGTGCACAGTTATTAACACTTTCATCCCTGAGAGTGACCAGCATCTAATTTCTCCTTTCAATATCATCCCTAAATTAAGCATTAAGGTCATGAGAATAAAGGAAATGATAATCAACTGAAGGACCTCTTGATTGTTAAACAAATTCTCCTTGCCAGCACATTAGGAAATTTATTGAGAACAGTATGGAGAATATGCATACTGATGTTACGATCTTCTAACACTTCAATTAAAACATAAAATTAAATTATTTACAAGCAGGTTAAGGAGGAAATTAAAGGTGGATATGTGTTACATAAAAAGTAACCCCTTACAATAAAAATAAAGCAGTAGCATATTACCTACGTGTCTTTGCTTCTGAATACAGCGATAATAGGTATTTTTAAGCAGTTATCTACATATCTAAACCAGGTGCAATATACGGTCGTAAAAGCAATTTTATTCCAACCTTCCTACTTGAAGGGTGCCTTGTGTATCAAATATATCAAGTTCATTACCTCTAGAGTCATAAGCCAGGCTTTTGGGGCTACAAAATAATAAAATAATCAACGCGTTGTGGCAGGCTAATTTATCGAGAGTCAATTAAGTATAGTTTCCTAAAATCATATGGAAAGTTTAAAATCTGCTTCACTTGCGCTACATATACGGATCTATCTTTCTTAATTACTGATGAAATCCCGAGAGTGTGACTCAATTCATTCAAAAGAAAATATCCAAGCAGGTTACAGAAATGGTTCACAAATTGTAAACTGATGTGTTAAGAAAACCTCCTTAAATTATGGTGCCGACACGGATTTCTCGTTCATAATCACTTATGAAATTCCGAGATTGTTCCTCAATGAATTCAATAGAAGATATCCAAGAAGGTTACAGAAACAGACTCTCAAAAACGGCTCTCGAATTCGAAAACTGTAAACAACAATTATTTACGCTAACCATGTACTTACCAGCGTGTATATGAGCTCAAATTGCCAGGGCACCGTTTAATTACACAATCAGAGCTCGGACGCTTCTTGCAAAATGTGATGACTATCGATTTCAGAGATAGATTCTTCAGTTTCCAGCATAAGGAAAAAATAATCGTATCGCAGGCATGTTCATCATAACCCGAACATTAAGTACGCCTCGAGATGTTAACGGAAGAGAAAGTGGCTCCATGTTTTGTGAGACAATTGAAACCATTTCCGGAAGTTCGAACGAATCGAGTAAAAAGCGTCAAAACATAGCCCTGAAAAGTGCCATGACTAAACAATAAAAATCACTCATTCCGCAGTAGAACTAGCTCCATTTTACCCGTGAATTTGTTTGCACCACATATCTGCGGTCCGTAATTTAATTCTAAGATGTTTGACGGGTTCTTGACAATATTGACAAAATCAAATTACTGCCTCAAACTTAATGTGAACATGGACATCGCTGACTCAATCTCATTTTATTTCAATTTTGGGAAAGGCCATTACTTCGTTCTTGAGGTAAAACAACAATTGTTCGACAAAGCGCGATTTTTTTAATGAATAGAGTAAATCCTGCGATAGTAGACAGAGGAGAGAAAGAGGTAGAAACTTGCGCTCGCCGTTCGCTATCATCTGAAAACTTCTAGGAAAAACAAAATCCGTAAGATAACTTCTTTTCCATTAACACCACGACTGTATAAAACACTCCAAACCACAGGACCAAAAATACCTTGAAGAATATGAACACTTTGAAGTGTTATTCGAGCGATGAGCCGGCACGAAGGTTTTTAGGCGATGAAGGCCAAAGTCATTGTTTTAACGAAACGTGATTTTAATTATAAACTGAAGCTAGTATCAAACGACAATTGGTAAAAAAAGGTTTGAATTTTCCGAACCCCAGTGTTAAAGAAAACCCAGATAAGACACGACTTGCCTCCTCTTCCTTCTCGGATCCTTTGTAGTTCGCTTCTCTTTGTTGCTGACCTCTTCTCGGTCTGTTTTCAGGAGAGCCTTTGTATTCCTTCTCGCGTCGCTCCACGCAAGATAATCGCCTTTTTACTTATGTCTTTTCTTGTTCTCTTTTGCGTTCCTCTCGCCGTATTCTCCCTATTTTGGTGTCCTCTCTAACTTTCTTCCGCGTTCTTCTCGACTCGCTTTACGTCTTTTACGTCTTGTTTTTTTTGGTCACGTAGGCTCTTTCTTATCATCCTATTTTCACTTAAAACTCTCTCTCCACGAACTTGAATTATAGCAATTTCCTCCCGTTGACAAAGCTTTAGCTCTGCTGGTATTGTTGCTTTCCGAGTTGATTAGATATTGCGAAATACTGAGAGTTACTGTTCAACTACAACCTCACCAGTTTGATGTCCCGCTCAAAACGCGGGTTGCAAATTATTTGCTTACGCGGCTTCACATCTACTACGCCCACGTGAAGCCCTCGTGCAATGCCTACCGTGCGCCCACGGTACGCTACACTGAAACTCAACACTCGAGTATGCGCACTTCATTGTCATCTGCCGGTGTCTCCTGGCGCACACTAATGGGCTTTCCAAGTTACGCACGCTATTGCGCCTGCGCATTACCTTCTCCATCGCCCTTCCATTACGTAATGGCAAAGATAGTGCCCGTAGTACTGTTAGCCGCGCATGCTAAAAGTAGTACCTTGTACGGTCGGTCGTACGGTCGTACGTCCAAATTTTTTCGGCTTCATGGGTTACTACTACTTCGAGCTACGCTGCGCGCGCCTCAAGCGCTGCGAGCTCCGCTATTATCTAATTGCAGAGCCTAAAGCAGGACCCCCGTTTCTCCACCCGTAGGAAGATTGGAGACGATCCGGGTAGAAGTTTGCGGAGTTTCCCTGTACCAGGCCCTTTGAAAACCTCTTGCCAGCTCCGGTTGAACATTATTAAGCATGCCAAGCCCTTTTACCATTTACTCAATATTTTCAGTCGCTGTTTGTATTTTCACTACCCCAGCGGGATCATTAAAATTCGGCAAAATTTTAAAAATACCCGACGATACTACACATCCGAAACATCCAGCGACTTATATACCTTCATTAATACTGTTTCTTGTGGTCGTCAACAGTGCTCCGGTGAATGTCGCGGGAGACGTGGGCCGAGAGGCCAGCGAGGACGGACTGGGTCAAAAGGACAGCCAGGCCCTAAAGGACCAAGGGGACCCCCGGTCAGTACATACTTTGCGCGTTACCTTGCCTTGATATTGTAAAATGGTGTAAAGTGGAGTGATAAATGTTTTTATATAGAGAATCATATATGGGCGGGCGTAGATATCGAATTTGTCTTCGAATACCATACCTACAAGCAACCATGTATTATTTTGTTTATCATATAAACACAATAGCCCTTCACTGGGAAGAAAAGCCGACTTCATTAATGAATGAAAATAAATGAGTCGACAATCCTCGAATAACAATCGTAGAATGCGTTGGCGCTGACTCTGAAGATCGAAAAATGCGTTGAATCATGATTACAAAAACAACAATGGTCGTAATTTTCAATGAACAAAATTCTCATTTATTGACTTTGTCCTTACCGACAGAAGTCTTTCAGGTAAACGGCCAATATCGGCTAGTGGCAAATCTTCCAGTTGTCGATTTTCATTCTCAGTCGAGAGAAATGCTAACACCAAAGCCACTGAATACGCAACTTTCAGTTTTTCTTTCAGTGTATTGGTTTTCTTCTCTTTCTAGGAAAGTTTGAACCTCATTGTCTGTCAGCGATACGGATTTCTTAGTGTTTTAGCCGCCATAATTCGAGAAAGCTCCGACAAACGACTTGTATTGAGAATCGTTAAGGGTTTGCCGTTCATTCATCAACCTGACCGAGTGGCGTTAAGGCGAGTGACGTGTAAGCACCTGATCGGCTATATCAACACACGTGAAAAAAAACGATGTTTTTTCACGTGTGTTGTTACGGCTCTTCTCAGGGCCGGAAATCCTTGTATAACACCGTATTTTATGTGATAAATGTATTTTACTAATTTTAGGGAGAAAATGGGCGAGATGGACGGAATGGGCAACCAGGACCTATAGGAATTGTGAGTAAATGAAACTCATTTTCTTCCAGCCGTGAACGTTCCAAACAAAGAAAAAGGCTGTTGTCTGTCACCACTTTAGCTAACTCAAAGAGTCTACTGAAGAATCTGACATCACAAAGGATATCAGGTCAAATTTCACAGTAGCCTTAAAGTCTTCACAATTGTGAAAAAAGTCTTCCCGCTTGAAATGAAAAAGGATTCAAACAGTGTATAACCTTTTACCAAGAGATTATGTTCTCTTGCCCTTCACAGATTACGAAAGGGCAAAAAATTCACGTTGGTATCATTTTAAATAATCACCATTGACATTTCCGAAAAGTTCCCTCACTTTAATCTTTCCTCCCATTCATCTACTTATCATTAATTATTTCATATTTTCTCAAGCCTGGACCCCCAGGAATAAGTGGACCTATAGGAAACAAGGGAATCATGGGACAAAAAGGAGAACAAGTATGAACTTAATACCAACTTAATGTTTGTAGTAAATACTTTTGACACTATTATTGTGACTACATGTTGTCATTTCCATCCGTAGGAATATCCATTTTATGAGTACGTTAGGTCTCAATTGAAGACACGGCAGACTTTGGTAAAAACTTATGGAGCTCATTGAAAACTTGTTGGACAATAGTTCAATTTGACGGACGTTAATGGGGCAAGAACATTTACTTTCAGCGTTATTTTTTTGAACTTTCAGTATTTCTGCAGAGTTCATTGAAACGATACTAAAGCTAAAATCAATACATTTATCAATGTCCTCCAAGGTCAACTCATTAAGATCGTAAGATATGAATATGACTACTAGACAGTTGTTACCCTTGTCACTTTAAAATGTCCATTATAACAATAATCACGCCTTTTTGTAGGATATAGCAGCTCAAGAAATAGCCTATTTTTAAACGTTTTTGATGTACCTAACACTTCATCTTCATTTATCCGCAATGATAATTAGGACTTTTAAATGTCTGCTATTTTCGAAACTTCCCGAGACATTGTAGCGCTTTTATCTATTTTAGGGACTTCGTGGCCCATCCGGTATTCCTGGCCTTCCCGGTCTACCAGGGAGTTGTGTGAGATCAGCGCCATCCAACACCACTACCCCCACAGTATTTTGTGGACTAGGTAAACAAGGTCTTAAAGGAAATAAAGGGGATAACGGAAACCGTGGATTACCGGGCCCCCCTGGGTCGCGAGGAAACAGAGGCCCACGAGGAAATTTGGGTAATGGAGGCCCCCCTGGGAAAAAGGGTGACATTGGGCCCCCAGGCAACTTTCCTGATCTGGAATGTTTCCCTCGGTACACCAGTTGGGTAAATAGAAGTGAGTGGTTCGATAAATATCCCAAGGTGCATTGTGATAGGAGAGAATTCTTACAAGGCTTCAGTCTGGAAAAAAGCGATGCTCGCGGGCAGAGAAGATACAAATACACTTGTTGTACACTTGGACTGACCAATGGTCCTTGAAAAGCTCAGCAAATGAACTGAGCGAAGACCAAAATAAAAACAGCCAACAGGCATCGACTCGACTCACAACAAACAATGGACGGAAATTTTGATTGATGACAAAGTTGAAGATAGTATCTCTGAAGAAACATGAGATAAGACAAAAGGATTTTTTATGCATTGAAATGAAGATACATATAGTTAACACCTGTGGGAGAACATTTCTTGACCGTCCGTGCCCACGTAAAAAACTCACCAGCAGTAGTCAAGTGTAATCAGAAGCCAGAAATTATTGCTCCTGACGTAGGCCATTACATTTGATGTAATCTTCCGCAGAAATTGTAGATATAGAGTCATAAAGAAACCAAATTGAAGTGCAGTCGGCTTTCTATCAGCATTGCGCTAAACGATAGACGGAAAGATATTTGCTTCCAAATCACGTTATCTTAGTCTTTAAAAATAAGAACATGTATCATCATGCCATATTCACCATCATGACGATTAACTGCACATAGTGCGCAGTGAATTAGGATTTCAGTTCTTTTTTAGTGTGTGGGCTATCAGCTGGGCACTAATGCAAGCATTGATTTGCCTCCAATAAGAAATTGAGATAGAAGACAGTTACAGATCATTAGAGTTACTTAACCACACTCCAAAATAAATGTGATAGTTACGATGCTAGAGCCTCGGACTATTAAAAAAACGCTGCTCTTACTACCGTCATCGTAAGAATTAACAGAAGAAAGCTATTAAAGCTTGAGCTGCACACGTACTTAAGTGTTTGGACAGCAGTCAGCCCGAGTTACCAAATTCTGGACCATTCATTCTAGTCAACGTTTCTGTCGCACGACAGAAGGATTTTAGCGTCAGGTGACAAAATATCTCAGAAGGGTCACACGAGGCTGCTAAAATATTTGCATCGAGAAGGATTTATATAATGTAAAGAAATATTGAATGTCTTTTTCCTCTGTGGCGACTATGTTGTAATTCTTTTACAATAACTCAGTTAATGATGAAGGGTTTTCCTCATCCTTCAATCCTTGATCTTTACACATTTTCCGCAGCACCTGATGTTTCCTGAACCCATTGTTATCGTAAGTTGGTTTGAGAAATGATAATTGCAACTACATCTGTTCTTTCGAGCGAGATCCTTTTCGAATCAAGCTTATTCAGTGCACAGTCAGTGATTTGAACTTGGGATATAAATTCTACCGTGAAGTTTGATCTTCTCAGGGATGGTTCTCTTGAGAAAGTATTTTTTCTCGTAGGCATGGACTAACTTTTGAAAAACCTGTGCAGAAGTCATTATCAGAGTCAGATGAAGATGATGATCTGTGATCAGGTTTTGAAAAGATCAGCTTGTGACGCCCTGAACGTTAAGTTCTGATTTTTTATTGAACATCAAGAAAAAATAAGGATAAGGGGGAGAGGGAGGGAAGCTTCAGGTTTAACCCTTGAGATTTGTCAATTTCAACAAAGTTATTTATAGACATTCCCTCAAAATGGAAGTTGGTTTTCCGAGAATTCCTCAATACGCTCACCTCAATAAAAAGTTCACATAACAATAAACGGTGAAATAGCGGCGAGGGTAGAGATGCCTTTTGCGGTGAATGCCGTTTGGCAAAAGAAGGAAAGTGATAATTCTAAAAATAAATGAAGTGAAATCGATGTATCTCGGCCAACATTTTGATTCACCCTCTCTGTCCCACTGTTTTTTCTTGGCGACACTACGCTCTTAGAAGATGAATTTCTCAATTGGCCCCCAATTGTAACAAGTACGTGTATGTACGTCGTAAATCGCCTGTTGTTGCTCTTGACGAGTGCTATAAATAGTGGCGTTAAATAGTTGACGCTTAAAGCTACTGCCACCTTCAACAGTTCTGTTCAGGTCTTCGCCCACCGAAACAATCAGACTACACTACCAGCAAAAAGACAGTGCAGTGGGAATATGCTTATCATAATTATTTTGTTGTATTATGGGGAAATAGCCCTAGCCCGTGAAACAGAGCAGGACAGGACGAAAATATCAAGAAAATGTTATGCCAGCGGTGTTGGGTCACGCGAATAACTTTTAAGATAATTATTTCCAAGGAATCACAAATATTTTATTTGTTATGACGCATGATGATCATGGTAAAAGTTCTCTGAACCCTTCTATCGAGGGCACGCTCTAAGTCTTACCCTAACAATTTGCCAGGTGTATTGTAAGGAAGACTTAGTGTTCACGACGTTAACCTTCCTTCGCTTACATGTTAACAATTTACGACGTCTTTAATGACTCAAACGAAAAATGAAGAAAATAAGAAGCTGTTCCAAAATCGTAACGAGTGTGATACAAGGGGAAGAGGAACTAAAATTGAAAAGATTTGAGTTCCCTACGAGAAATCAAATCTCATTCCTTTCAATTTCGCAGAGGTTATTATTAACAATGATCAACTACAACAGCATCCAACCCCAAAATCACACAACTTGAACTTCGAATCCTTCATTGTTCAGGGTTATCCTTAAACAAGATGTTGCCGTGCTGAGTTCCATCATCAGGCCCCGTTGTCCAAAGGTAGGATAACGCTATCCACTGGATAAATCGCCATCCGGTGGATAGCGCAGTACGTTTTCTTAACAGTTATCCGCTGGATAGTGATTTATCCTTTGGATAGCGTTATCCACTCTTTGAACAACTGGGCCTAGATCTATAACAAAGGACTTTCTGTTACTCAGTTTTTATTTTCACTTGATAACAAAATAAGTCAAAGAAATTACAATAACTTTCCGAGTCAATCACTGTACCTAACTTGCTACAAAAACTGTCCCTATAGAAAGGGCTTGATGAAAGAAAAATTCCAACTCAAGGAAATTTATTAGACGCAAGGATCTTGACATGATATCAAAACTCTATTCTAAAAACTAAAAACCAAACACCAAAAACTAAAAACTCTAATAAAGATTATAAATATGAAAGTGACCTTCGCAGTAATGAAGTTAATATGAAGTATATATACTTATATATTTTATTGTCATATATTCACAGTGCTGTGATTAACCAAGAACGGAAATTGCAACCTAAAAATGAATAAAATTTTACAAAGAAAATGAAACATTCGTAAGATTCAAATTGAAAAACATCAGCAACACGACCTACTAACGACATAAACTGCTTTGCTCGACAAATAAAGTACATGGTCCTTTGAAATAAATTGTTTGTGAATAAATCTTTTCAGTTAAACTTCCATCTCATCATTCCAGAAACAAAAGAAAAATTCGCCAAAATTTTTTAACTGAGGAAGTGCCCATTACTTCTTGAGTCTCTTGAAGTACTTTAACTATTTCAATCGTAATCAGTAAACGGGAATTAATTTTTTAAAATTTAATTGCAACGGTCACAAGTACACAATGTTGTGTCTTTCATACTATATCCTAAGAAATTAGACAAAAGTTTTTGATACAAAAGCCTAAAACTGAAGTTTCCCCTTAGAGATCTAACTCAACAACTCTTCCTTTTTTACTGACAGACAATACTGTTACATGCCGAGACAATCAGGACGTTCAAAAACTGAGACATTTTGCCTTTAAAAGCCAGCTATATCACTGAAAATACTGAGGAAGTTCCTGTCGATGATGTAGACTTGATTCAAAATACATCATCAATTAACATTTGCTTACGTACATTTGAAAATATCCATAGCTCCTATCTTCAATTTCATTCCAGCGTGACGTCATCCCCAATGAGTACAAAGGGTGCCCAGTACTTCACATCGCTGAACTCTTCAGAATCTTTCATGCTCTTCATAGCTTGGTTAAGAGCTTCACTTGCAAGCTTTCCAGTAACCAGTTCTTCATAGAAATGT